TTGGTGGGGATGGGGGTGTGTGGGTTTGGGGGGCAATGGGGGTGTGTGGGTTTGGCGGGGGGAAAGGGGGTCTCTGAGTTTGGGGGCATGGGGGTGAGCTGGGTTTGGGGGGAATGGGAGTGTGTGGGTTTGGGGAGGGATGGTGGTGTCTGGGTTTGGGGGGGCAATGGGGATGTCTGGGTTTTGTGGGGGCAATGGGGGTCTCTGGGTTGGGGGCATGGGGTAGCAGTCAGATTTGGATTGAAGGCGGATGGGATAGGGGTGGGGTTTTCGGGGAGAGTGCAGGGGTGAGTTGTGGGAGCCTGGGTGGAATGGGATGTTTAAGGATGGGTTTGAGAGTATGTCAGGACCTGGTTGGGAGAGATGGGGAAGGTTTGGGACATGTCAGCTGAAAACAGAATGAGAGGAATTCTCTCACAATCTCCGTCACTTCCAGCTGGTTTCAAACTCTGTCCAAAATATCTTCACTCCTGCTCCTCTCTCCAACTCCCATTACACACCGTTCTCACACTTCCCAAACCCCCCTCCCCCCACCAACCTGAATTGATCTTGCTCCAATCTCCAGTGGCATTTCAGTAACTATTACCCCTTCTTCACAATCGACTAGTTTGGTAGCAACTGAGTAACTTGTTAAGCCGCATTTAGGAACTCATGCCCCTATTGGTGAGGGAGTGGGACCACACAGAGATCTGGACCAGGTAAAGATAGCAGATCCCCTTCTACAAAGGGTCAGGTGAACCAAATGGAGATTTACAACAAGCCAACACCTTCACTGTCACTTCCAATAACACCTAGTCTTCATTTTCCTGTTGCCTTGAACCGAAACAGAATTATTTAATTGAGATTCGATCTTACATTCTGTGGATTGTTGGTCCAATCACCCACTGCACAAGTGACAGATTAAGGAATTCTCCAATCATCAACCATGACAGACTCCCACGAGGCATTAAATTATTGGGATCAATTCTGAATTTCCAATGACGCCATTCCCTGGGGGACGGGCAGGATGGGGGATGGGGAGGTTTGGGGGAACGGGGAGGTTTCCATGCTACAGCTGGGAAAGGGTGGGATATTCCAAC